AGTGTGGCACTTCAAGGTCTTAGTTAATGACTTATGAATATCAACAGGTTCAAGAACGAGCAGTTGCAGATTTTGTTATCACTTTCCCAAGGATATTTCATAGTAGCAATTTAACAAATCTAGAATGACAAGCAACTCCCACCCCATTCTTTCAGAAGCAGAGATTGCCCTCTAACTGTTGTTTCAAATGGCATCTCCAAAGGAAAGGGAAATGTGGGCAAGGAGGTCATAGTTCCAGCAGCACCTGCTTCAGACTTGCTCCTGCAGAGGACAAACGGACTTTGTCTTCTGAAAACTAACTTAGGCTAATAAACATTGTTTATATCTTTAACAGTTTTTTGGGGAAAAAGAACTGTATTTAAAGAATTTTAGTTATCTGGGACTTTAAAGTATGCTTTTATTTAAATATTAGGTCCATTCCAAAAATAAGATTCCAGATATTAGAGAAGATGGAAAATTAAGCATAGACTGTTAATGGGCCAACCAGAAATTACCTCAAGTTCACCGCCATACATCATGAAACAGTAGACATAAAGGCTTGAATCAGGTTGGGGTTTTCATCCTTATGTATTTCTTATCTAGCCCTGCAGCTTGTGGTAATTTTCTAAACTCTCTGAATTATGTTGGCTTCACCTGTTAAATAAGAGGGTTGTTCCATTCTGGACTTGGTGACTTCTAAGTTCTTACATTAAGGTTTTTTAATTTTTCCTTAAAATCTGAGCACTGTCCAGAGAAAAAGAACTCAATTCTGAGTATAATGGGAAAAAATATGGAATACAATACATTCTTTTAGCTGGGCTGTAAGTCATTATACACATATCTTGGTACTTTGATATCCTTACATTGTCGATATGAAAATTAATTTGTGTGCCAGCCATAGTTCCAAATTATCACTGAGTTTTATTTTTATGTTCCATTCTTGGTCACATCTAAATTGTTTCCTACTTATTCCTTCATCAGACAAGCAACCCCTAAATATAGCATGGTTTCCATGGCAACATTCTTTCTCCTGCAAATTCCAGGAACACCTTTTCTCTGAAAAATGAGGTGAGCCAGATAATATGTCCAAATCCAGGCCTATTACCCAGATTTTATATGTTTTGAATTAATTTAAGGAGAGATGTTTAAAACTAGTTGAAATATTTGTTCCATATGAAATTTTTCCTGCTGAGCAGAGTTAGTACAAATTTGCTTTTGACAATATGAGTTGGAAATCTCATCTTCTAGTGTGAGTTTTTCTTAAAATAATAAGGCAAATGGCTCCATTGCCTTAAGATTCTGTTTTGTATCTCTGGAGTCACAAACACTGTAGAATGATGGTGTAGCAGGTGGCATATGTGGGAACAATACTCATTCTTTTTCAAGGCAAATGAGAATTTTATCAGTTGTTACCTAAATGTAGATCGCAATGAACTTGCTCTACAGGTGACAGAATTTTGGTCCTTTGAATTCCTGCAGCATATTGCTGACCAGTAATATGATTTGGGGTGGGTTTGCCTGCAACTGTTGAGGGTGTGTTAGTTTCTTGTAACTTTATGTACTAAACCCAATACTTCCTTAAAATTATGCTTTGAAGTCAGCACAGCTAAAGACAGAAAGTGAGAAGGTTGATGTCAGAAAAGTTCCAAATAGCAGTTAATGGGGGAAGGGAGTCTTTGGAAATGGAAAGGCAGAGATATAAATACTTTGGGCTTACTGCTGAGAATAGGAAGGTCTCACAGAAAGTATTCCTCTAGGTCATTCTAATTCTGAATGTGAAACATTTTGGGTTAAACATGATATGAAACAGTATTTGAAAAAAATAAAAATCCCTGTAAATAAACCCTTGATAGTGAAAATGAAAAGTCTTCACTTATAGGCCTAATTTTTAATTGTTTAACCATGAACTATAAAACAAAGATACGTTTGTGGCCAAGGTGGTTTATCTGGGTCTTCCATCTTGATATTTAGCTCCGGAAGCCTTCAGTCCACAGCCTGAGCTAATCTCCACTTCATCATTCGTCCCAGGACGGCTCTTGACCCGTGTCCGTGGAGTCTTGATAGCGCACTGCTCTTACTGCCTGCCCTGATGTAGACCACCACCAGATGGCCAGGAGCCTAGAGTCTTCCACCAGCAGAGAATCCTAAGAGGAAAAGAGCAAGTAAGTCGTTTGGGTGGTCGTTTGTTTCTGCATAGGCAGCAGATCTAGAAACTTCAGTCCTTGGCTTTAATGAGTAAAAAAATAGCTACAAATCACAGGCTGTGAAGGATAATGTTGGCCGGAGGCTGTTATAAGAATAAGGTCTTGACAGGCACAGTCGCAGGGGGGCCATCAGGTGAGAAATTGGGGAACAACAGTGGTGAAGCTTGGAACCTCACCCCCCCTGTGTTGAGAGAAAGCTTCTGCATCCCTGGATGTTTTATTGCCCTTGTCTAGCTCGGATTAGCACATAGTCTACAGGCACACACCTGATCATCTACAATTGCTCTCTTACAATACTGAACTGTTTTCTACCTGTATCTTGCATCTACCTACCACTTCAGCAGTTTATTAAAAATAAAAATAATAATAATAATAATAAAGGGAGAAATGTGGGATCCACATATAAATCAAGTATAAAAATCAAACGAATATTCATATTTGACCTGATTGTTTATAGTTCATAATGCGTGATCAGAACCGAAAGTTTCTGTGATGACTGCCCTTGTACTGTTCACCATGTAAGAATTTATTCACTATGTAAGAATTCGTTCATTATGTAAGAACTTGTTCGTTATGCTTCAGAAGATTGGAGACCGACGAGAACTAGGCTTGAGATGGATTAATGATTGTGCATTGAGCATTGACCCCCCTATACAGAATTTTATTGTTGTTAACAACCATTTGATCAATAAATATGAGAGATGCCCTCTCAAAAAAAAAAAAAAGAAAAAAAGAATAAGGTCTTGAGGGAAAAGAGAAATGACCATTCAACTTTTCCCTTCCCTATAAGTTTATCCCTATGAATTTAAATATTCGTAGGACAATTCTGAGAAGTAATTGAAAAAGAATGGAAACCTGGATTTATGGAATATTTTTGTATACATCATGGAGGGAAAAGGACACTGATGACCTATTCTATCTCCAGGAATCTGTTATGTTCTTATAGACACAATCTAACTTACTTCTCACCACATTCTTATTAAATAGGTCTCCTCATTTCCACATTTACAGCTGAAGAGATGACTTTAAATATATGTCCCATGATTAGCCAACTAGTAAGTGGCAGTGCAACCAAATGTCATACTGTCTTGGGATATGTGCCCATTTTTAAACTATGGAACTGATAAATAACTTATGTTTTCATTGTTTTAAAATAATGAGAAACTTAAGTCTTGTCTGCTTAGACTTGAGGACTGCCAAAATTTAAAAACTATATTAGTATTGTATTTTCTGTTCATAAATCATATAAAACTATGCCATTTTACACAAAAAGTATACAAGCATTATGCATTTTATGTATATGTACTTTGTCAAAATGCATATTTCAGCAGATAAAATTTAAGTTGTGCAAGTTATGTTTTTCAGTTATAATAAAATCTCATTTGAGGATATTTAGTATGCCAGCTCTACTATGATTTTTCTCAAACAACAATTTAGTTATTCTAAAAAAATTCTATAGTAGCAGAAGAAAAGTTGTAGGATATTGAGACATTCACTGTAGAATAGCTTCTCCCTCAGATACCAATGCTCCAACTCTGCTTCTGACCAGGTGGGCAGGAGATACATGAGGCAAATAAGCAAGGACCCTTCCAGGGGGAAAGTCTGGCCTGTTGATGTCTGTGTCTCATGCTGTCTAATCAAAGGTCTGAAAAAGATTTTTTTTAATTGGCAGAAATTTGTTAAATACTTACTGATGCACAACAATTTCATGTAACATTTTACCGTGTATCTGCCCCTATGTAGAATAAGGAGAAAGAGGTAAATGATATCTTTTTTACTTTGCTGTTCACCTTAGAAACATAACTTTTATACGACTTTTTTTTTCAGTTATAAAACTGCCTTAAACTTAACACTAACTCATTTAATTTCCAGTAACCCTTTAATCGGGAAGGACAGCCCTTCCCATGTCACGGCTGGAGTCCCATGAAGCCGGGTGACTCATGCATACTTCCACAGACTGAACTGCAGAATTGACCCTTACTTCAGGAAGGCAGATGCAACATGTTCACAGCCCCTTATACATCCATACCTAAAATATTTAAATAAAAACTAAACAGAATCCACCCTCCAACCCCAACTTTTCACCGAAATGTCGCATTCCAGCCCAGGGAAGTTTCAGTATTAGGAAGAGGAAAAAGCAGGTAATATGTATATTATATGTTGCTCCTTGCTCAAAAGCTGTTCATAGAAAATATTTTAAAATATTGTCTGACACACCATCTTACAATGATTATACATCATGGATACAGTCTTCTTTACATTATCCCAAATTGGATTTCCTGACAATAGGAGGCACAAAAGTTGATACATCTGATATGAATGTGTGCATCAATACATACTGACCCTGCCTTTATTTACAATTTTGTTATTTTGTTCATCATGAAGTTATGAGTTAATTTTGATTTTTAAAAAATAGTAAATTATAATATTACTGTTTTGATTATTGAATTTTTGACCCTTCCTTGAATTTTATGCCAGAGGCTAGCATTTCTTAAGCTAATCCCGGCCCCAGTAAGTGATCTTAGATACTGTTAATAAAATGCCTGGGTGTACAGTTAAGAATTTTATATTCAAACAAACTCATTTTTGTGATTTTGTTTCACTCAACTCTGTCTCTTCAATACATTTGGGTAATTAAGTGGAGTCTCTGATAGTATTTACTGGGTACACAGTTTTAGATTTGTAAATAATTGTCTAGGATTGTAAAATCAATATTATTAATGTGCAGTTGCTGTGCAGTTACAGTATCTCCATTATAATTTTTGCAAAACTTTTGATTTAGGGGTGTGTGGTCCTCTAAGCATTTTGCAGTGAAACATGAAGCTGATCAATACAACCACCCAGGCAGAAGCCTCAGACGCAGACCCAGGCCACTGCAACCCACACTGCAGGATGATTCTGATAACACTCTACGGGGTGGTTTTGCTCGGAGGCACTGGAATAGCACTGATGTCATGTATGATGTTCAGAAGGAACAGCCAGTCCATGGTTGCCGCCATCGTTCTCAATATCATAGTGCTGCACTCCATCCTCCTGATCAGCCTTCCTTTTCGTCTCAGCTATTACATCTTAGTCGTATGGGAGTTCGGATCCTTTACCTGCTGACTGGTTAGCAGCATAATACATGGTCATATGTACTTCACCTTTGTTTTCTATGTGGCTATTGTCCTACTCTGACTGGTCATCTATTTTAAGAAACTCCAAATGCCACAGTTACAAAAGTACCATGTGGTAGTTTTAAGCATTATAATTTGGATGGTGTAGTCTCATTTATTTGCCAATATTATTTTTACAGTAAGATCCAGGTTATTCAGAACAACAACGATGTTTGTGTTCTACAAAGATCTCAACTGGAGGGAGTTAATTATCTTGAACTACTCTATGATTGTCATTATGATCACAACAGTTGTTATCCTCTTTCTGATACAAATGGGTGTCATCGTTCAACTGACAAAGGCTCTTTGGTCTGACATGTGGGCCCATCAAGAGTATAGAGCACAAATCAAGAGCTTCTTTTTCCTCATGATAGTTGTCTGTTTTATACCCCACCTTGCATTCCGGGTATACTTTATTCAAAATTATTCAGAGATAGAAAATTCTGAGTTAGTTCTTTACAATGAAATTTTTGTTGCTTTTACTACTGTCTATTGCCTGGATATGCTGTGTTTCACAGGGGGAGTTATCCATTAAATACTCCAATATCACTTGCTTTGTAATCAGGTTTCCACCATTGTGACAAAATAGTTGCAATTGAATGGGTGCATGATTTCAGAGTTTTTCAAATTTTCTGCTCTTAATCGTCACCAAAATTATTTTTCCATGAAAAGGTAATAAGGATAGTTTGTTTCCCTCTTCTCAGAGATCTGTTACCTACTATCTATTAACTATAGAATATGTTCCATTTCCTTAGCTTTACATAAGTTGACTCAAACATCTCTTTCAGACTCAATCCTTACTTCAAAAATTTCATGCAGTATTTATTTCTGGTAAGCACAGCTATTGACTTCCTTTATGCACAATCCTAGCTGTTCTCCTCTTTGCATTTACTCTCACTGAGTTTTGATCTTAGAATGTTCTTTTCCTCCATCTGCAAGCTATCTATTCTTCAAGGTTCAGAGAACCTGAAGAAGGGGACTCTGTAGAAGTCTTACCTTATTCAACTTAAGCTCAACTCGAGACAGTTGTCTCTTGTAAATGACTAGCCAGTAAAGGTACAGCTGCTGGATGTGGTATTTGGAAGAAAGGATTTAGCTCAGATAGTCAAAAGACTTAGAGGAAAGCCTTTCAGGATTTGATTTTAACACATAGTGGGTAAGCAGGAAGCTGAGAATACCTCCCTGGTCTACCTTCCCAAACATGGAAAAGAAATTGGAAAAGATGGAGGAAGCTGGACATAGTCTAAGTAGGCTGGCAGGCTGTGTTAGAACGCAAACCTTTAAGACAGTGGGACTGTCCTTGAGCTACTCAAGGCACCCTATACGTACCAGTAGCATTACATAATTAAAATCGACTGGTATCAGTTAACCCCCAAGAAACAACCAAGATAACCAACTTGGATTCTGCTTATCTGACATAGAAATTGACATGCCCTTATACTCTGCTTGTAATAACATTATCTTCAAGACTAAGTTTATTGAACTAAATAACCAAATAATGCCCTTACTGGTTAATAAGGAGGCATAGTTTATACAAAGGAGTTTTGGAGTCATCTGGAGATCTGGATCAAAACTGTTTGGTAATTGTGGAATTTTGGGTGGGGCTTGCAATCTCTGAGCCCCAGTTTCCTATGTTATAAGGTTTTGATATCTAGCTGAAATTAGATACCAACATGTGTTAAACAGTGGCATAGTGCCTGGCATGTGGTATTCAGAATAATATTATTTCTTTTCCTAATCTAATGACATCTTTTTGCAAGACAATTTTAATATAGGTCCAAAATGTTGATTCATATAGAAATATATTTTAGAGGCTCAGATGCTATTGGCCAGTGTCAATTTCATGCTTGATGTCATTACTAAATCAATAACTAAATGGATGGCTATTCCTATTTTTGCCTATACGAAGTTTCCACTGTTATTACTATAATTATTATACTTCAAAATACTATAGCAGAACCATTTTATAATCCTGCTCTCACAAAACCAGATAAATAGCAGTATTCTTTAATTACATGTAATCACTCTTTTAGTGGACATGGTATGTCTTCAGTAACAGTCACTTCAAAATTGATTGTGATTAGTTATAGTCAGGATAGAGTCAGTACTCAACTTACTAATGTATTGGGCTCTATGAGTTCCTTTTAATATGGTGGGCAGCAGAGCTAAGAAGGCCTCTGATGATCTCTGTCTCCTAATATGGCTGCTCCTGTACAATCTCCTCCCCTTTTATTGACTATGACTTAAGAATAGAATAGGGCAGAGCAGCTCCATGTCACTACCAGTGTTAGGTTATAAAAGGGCTATGGCTTCCACCTTGGGCACCCTTCTCTCTCTCTTGTTCTCTCTTGATTTGCTTCACTTTGAAGGAAACCAGCTGCCATATTATGAGGTAGCACATTTGGCAAAGAATTGAGACCTTCCAACACCCACATGAGTGAGCGTGGAGGTAAGTCTTCGGAGAACTGCCATTAGACACGGAGTGAGTTCAGAAGCGGATCCTTTCCTTTTTCAGCCCTGAGATGACTGCAGCCCTGGCTGACATTGACCAGCCCCATTAGAGACCTTGAGCCAGAAAAACTCAGCTCATCTGCTCCTAGGTTCCTAACATGAAACTATCAGGTAACAAATATTTTCTGTCTTAAACCAGTAAGTTTCAGAATAATGTTGTTATGCAGTAATACTGAATACAGTAATCAAGTTCTTTACAGCAGCAGAATGCTACCACCTAAGGCATTTGTGTCTGACATTTACAAACCACTGTTCCTGTCTGTACCAGTTGCTCACAGTAACAAACACATCTTTGCCTGCTCTTTGAATCAATAAGAATTGTATCTGATATTGTAGCAGCTTTACCTCTAACCCTGAACAACAACGGTGGGAGTATATGATAGTGGGAAATCCACTGGGGTGGTTTAGAGTGAAGATTGCAAGAGGGACAGTTGGGGAGTGGGTAGAAATTGCTCTTTGTTAGTTATATTGGTTATTGGTACAGATTACTGCTTCTCCAAGTGTGGTTCCCCAGACAAGCAACAAAGGCACCAGTACCTGGTAACTTACCTGAAATGCAAATTCTTGAGCCCCAGCTGAGCCCTACTGAATCAGGAATTCGGGATGTGGGGGCCAATAATGTGTTTGAACAAGCCCTCCAGGTGATTCTGATGTCACCTGAGAACCACTGCTTTAGGTGAAGCTGATAGATGGAAAATGGACACAGATTCTTTGACACAGCTGCCGTTGAGACGTGTGACCTACCTCCCCTACTCTTCTCTGTGCTCTGACCAAGAGAATGTAGGACAAGTGACTCTGCCAATTCCCAGCAGGCTTTAAAAGTCTGGAAACTCCAGTTCCTGTCCTTTGGAACACTTGCCCTTGCAGCCTGAACTGTCATGGAGGAAGTCTGGCTTCCCTGCTAGAGAAGACACCCGGAGATGCCTGAGGCTACCTAAAGAGGAAGGGGACATGAGCCCAGATAAGTCCAGCCTCCCAGCCAAAGCCCCGGGCATCCGACTGAAGTTGCGTGGGCCCTCCAAAGGCGGATACCACTGAGAGATCCCAGTCGACGCCACCTGGTGCAGAGAAACCGCCCATCCAGTCTTGCCTGAGCTCTGGATTCTTACAATCTAGAATATAATGAGATGATTACTTTATGCCTCTAGATTTTGGAGGTAATCTGTTAATCTGTTATGCAGCAATAGCTAGAACAATCAATGACTCCCTACGAATGAAATTCTAGATTAGCACTGCCTAATAAAAATACTACGCAGGTCACAAATGTGAGTCACAAATGTAATTTAAAATGTTCTAGTTGCTATATTAAAACATTAAAAAGGAAAAGGTGAAATTAAATTTGTAATGTACTTTAACCTATTCTATCCAAAATATTATCATTTAAAAAAGTCATCAAAATAAAAATCATTAATGAGATATTTTGTATTCTTTTATTTATACTAGGTTTTTCAAAATTTGATGCATATTTAAAGCTTGTAGCACATCATAATTCTGGGTAGCTACATTTCAGTGTCCATGCAGGGCCCGTGGTGAATCTACTGGACAGCATGGGTCCAGATCACCCAGAGACCAGCTAAAGATGTATCTGAGGACCCTTTCTTTTCAGAAGACTGGCCTTGTATCCCTCGGACGTTCAGTTTCTTCCTATGTAGTATGGGAATAATAGAACCTACTTCAGAGAGTTGATATGAAATTAAATGGTACTGTATAAGGTGCAAACAGCAGTGCTCAGCATGTAGCAAATGTGTAGTCAGTGGAGTGTTACTATTTTTACTGTACTGGTATATATTCAGGAGAGAAAGACAAATGTCAGACAACCCTGTCCTCAGATGCCCTGCAGTGTGTCTGGGATGGTTTAGCTTGGACACTCCCAACAGAATCCCCTTCTTTCCTGTGCTGACTCCCCCAGGCCTATCTCTCCACCCCACCACCATCCCTCATCTCAGCCTCTGTGTCACGGATAAGCCTTCAGGGTTGGGATGTGCCTGGGGAAAGTGCTCAGATCCCATTTCCCTGAGGGTTCCCTTCCTTAATCCCCTTTGACCCAACCTGTGTTACTTCCAGACTGGGTGTTCTCTTTTACATAAATGTGTGGCTGCTTTCCAGGTACCCACACAAGTTACTCACTTAAACTAAAATACTTTGAACATGTAGGTGAAGCTTAGTATTGTGTGTTAACTTCACTGGCTATGGGGTGCCCGGATGAAAAATCATTTCTTGGGTATATTTATGAGGGCATTTCCAAATGAGATTGCCATTTGAATGTGCAAATTTGAAGGAGGATTTTGCCCCCCTTTTTCCTGCCCCACTGCATGAGTTGGGATGTCTCGTGTCATCTTCTGCCCTCAGACTTGGATACAGACCTCAGCTCCTTGTTTCTCAGTCCTTTGGATGTGGACTGAATTAACCACTGGTTTTCCTCGGCCTCCAGATAGAAGCAGATGGTGGGACTTCCCAGCTTCCATAATTCCTCAGAATAAAGTTCTCTCTCTCTCTCTCTCTCTCAGGAAGTAGATAGACAGACATGATATATACATACATTATTAGTTCTATTTCTCTGGAGAACCCTGACTAATACAATGTGTGACACAGGAATCCCAGGTATCACTAGTTCTTGGTTATACAAAATGCTGGGTATGTTTTTATTTACTAACTTATGATTTCTCCAGGCCCACAGACCTACAGGCCAGGAAGCCTTCATCCTGTGAGTCCACAGATTGGCCTCAGCTATAGCCACCACATGGATCTGCCCTGTCCTTCATCTCCTGCTCATACTCCTGGTGGCAAAAATCTTCTGCCCACAAAATGGCACAAGACCTCCAATGTCTAGGCCCCAGGTTCTCTGATTGGTCCAGTGTTTGCAGTCCTTGGAACACCAGAGCCCCCTAGGTTCCAAGGATGCACAGAAGGATGGGGGTCCTCTCAAATTCAAGCCACACTTTCTCGGCTGACGTGCAAAGCAGTTCTGCTGTGCCTGGAGCCTCACAAACTCTGTCTTTCAGAGTTATGTCCACTTTGGTGTTC